TTTTGTCAATTATTTAAGTCTCAGGTGATACAAAAAGAGTTTAAAGTTCTAAAGCAAAGTTTTTGAAAGAATTTTCTTCAGTTTACTTTTGTTTTGTCAGTAAAGAACTTTGTATGCTTATAAGTCTTTGGTTCCAGCCCATTCTAATTTTTTACTTTTAATTACTGCGTTGCGGCCTAATTTTCTGTTATTGAGGCTTGCAAAGAATCAATGCCAGTTGATAGTATTGAAAGATTTGAATTTTTGCTGTCAAACTCTTGTAAATATTCCTCAAAAACAGAGTCTTTGTCATTCATTCATATTCTCCAAAAGGCTGGTGAATGAAACATTTGTTTCGGTGAGATTAGTACAGCAAGACATCTGCTTGCAAGCAGTCTACCTACCTTAACCTTCTCCCGGGAGGAATATAGATAATATCTCCTCGTGCAACGTTTCGACTATCCAGCGTCTGTAGATTGACGACGGATTGCGTCTGCAATAGGGTCATTTATGATACGCTCTCACGTCATTTGGGTGCAAATTATTGATGGCTGACTGCAGAATTTTCTCTTTTTTCAAAATTTTTAAACTATAGCTTGAAGGTGCAATGAAGAGCATGTAATAATAGGGACAGAATTGTAAAAGTTTGTTCCCCTTTTTTTAATTGCAAACTAGATGTATTGAACACTTAATGAATAAGTTCATACGGTCGCTTAAGAACCGAGCTAATTCATTTTTCTCACCTTTGACCGGCTACTGCTTGGCCCATCAACTTCCTCAAGGACAGCTGAACCGTCCACAATAACCATAATAGAAGCACAGTTTAGTACGGGAAGAGATGCTTGTTGGGCAGTAGGTTGCACCTGGAAAAGGTACTTATTTAGGTTATCGAACGAATTGCTATCCTGCCATTCTTCGGATAGTCTCAAACAGACCCGAATTCTGTGTAGTTGAAAATCTTTGCAATCGGGTGAGTATTCTTCCACTCCAGGATAATCTGGAAGAGGATTCGCCGGTACGAGATAGTCTTCTGGTGGCGTCATGCGATAGTTGAGCACCTTGAACTTCCTTCTTTGTTTCATCTTCAGAAATAAGCTGTCAACAACTCACTTCACAAAGTGCATCCCTATCGATGAATTTAGGGGTCATAGCAGCTCGAATAGTATTATTTGAGCAGCCGACACATTCAACGCATTCTAGAAGGCGTGATTTGATTTCAATAGCTAGAAGACATTCTGAATCGCTACCTCCGCTAAGATAAGCATGAAGTTCTTCAGCTGCATAGTAACAGCATTCTCCAGGTTTGAGAACCATGTGATTCAAAATCAGCGGTGAGAAAATGCCTATATCTCCAGGAAAATCCTCATACATCTTTCGAATCACCTCCACAGTACCTTCAGTGATGCATCCTCGATCTGGAAAAAAAGAGTATTTTCCTAAAGTTTCATGCTACAGTAATGGCAGAAGATTTTATGCCCACATCCATTGTCAAGATATTCAATCAACTGATCTACATATTCGCCGACAAGATCGGGATGATTGCGAGCTTTCTCCATCATTTCTCTGAAAAAAATTCTCTACTAAAGTTCATGAGAA